GCATAATCACAACCTATGTGCAAATTCCACATATACAGTGCATTTAGTCATATTAGTGCAAAAATTCACAGTATTTCAATCACAATTACAAATGACTCCTAAAGTCCTTATACAATTGTACAGGGCCCTCCTTCAAAATGCTCCTAAATCATCATAAATATTGGTGCAAATTCCTGCTGTGTTGATAATCACCCGTGTGCATTCCTACATCACCAACACAAACATATACACTCTCGCCTTCTGTATTTGAACTATATGTATTTAGGTCAAATGGCGCTTTTGAGTCCATCAGATACTGAGCTCTACCAACTAGAAGAATCAGACACAGGCAAGACACAATGAAATATAGTATGGAGCGTAAAATGTACAGCCCATGACAAATGTTGTTTTGTCACCAGAAAGATTTTACTTCCCCCCCCCCCCCCCTTTGTTCTTCTTCGTTCCTCTGTGGTAAGGAAAACATGATGAAATACAATATTCTAGCAAATCTCTATAGAGATTTGAGAATGTATTGGTAGGTTCCGATCTGCTGTATAAATTATATAATAAATAAAAAAAACATAAAAAACAAACCAAAAAAAAAACAGCCACTTCACTGAAAAATATTGAACAAATCCACACCACACCGCTAAAAAAAAGGAAAATGCAGGGGGCGTGTATATGCATAAAAGTAACCAACCATAGGTTTCTTAAGCTCAGCACACACGTTGCATTACGATTATACAATCTCTTTTAAATCTACCAATAACTATGTAGTACAAGAGTCTGCCTGATTGGACACACATTGATTGGACAGATTAGGTAAGTCTTCATACAATCTTTGTACAATCAGTATTTGAGTTGCTAAAAAAAAAATTTTATATGGTCAGGTTGTGTATGGTCTCCCCTAGGTCTTGTACATACAGGATTCTACCTAAATAAGACAGTGTGCACACCAAGCTTTACTGTCCAGCCCATGTACATAAACGGCCGAATGGGAGCAGTGTAGGGGCGGGTGGCCATTTATAAACATCCTCCCGCTTTCCTGCCTGTATGCGCTCCCTGGGAGACCGTGGCACCGCAATCCGGTGCCCGCTGAGTCCTCCGGACACAGTGGAACACCAATTGCTGTATTTGACCTCTGTGTGAGGTCCCGATCATGTGATCACTGATTGGCCAATCAGTGATCACATGAATAGCAGTAAGCAAGATGTCACTTCTGACATCATTGCTTACTACGTGTGAAATCTGAATGATCACAGAGGTCACATGGTACAAGGCTATTCACAACAGCCTTGTACCATGTGACAAGCTGTGACCAGTCACAGCTCTCACAGTATTTCTCAATGGCTGCAAGAATGCATCCAGAGAGAAGGAGAAATGATTGCGGAGAAATGATTGCAGAGAAATGATTGCTTTTACAGCCATTATGGGTGTAAAAACAATCAGTGTGAAAAAAAAATAAAAAATTTCACTGTGGTGACACTATACTGCTAGGGTGACAGTATGTTAAAAAGAACAAAAAAACAATTTAAAAAAAAAAGAAAAAAAGTTACTTTTTTTATTTAAAAATTATACATTTTTGGTTATAAAAGTAATTTGGGTTTTTTTTTTTTTTTACTAACAAGATAGCTGAATACATTTTGGCCAAGATTTATGAAAAGATTATTTATTTGCAAAATTTTATAAAAAAAAAAAAAAACTAACTTTCAAAATATTGGGACTTTCATTTATATAGCAAAAAAAAATAAAAATCCCAGTGGTGAATAGATACCATGAAAATAAAGTTTTATCTGTCTCAAAAAAATGCTAAAAAATTAATAAGGGTACAGTGTTGCATGACCGCGCAATTGTCATTCAAACTATGATAGCACTGAAAGCTGAAAATTGGACTGGACAGGAAGGGGGTGAAAGTGTCCGGACTTGAAGAGGTTAAAGTATTTACAGAGCATTCTGCAAGCTTGAAGCAGCTTTGCTGAAACCCTAAGGCCTCCATTTTGAGGATGTTATACACAGATCTTCAGGGAATGTGACAAAAAGGGTAAGAAAAGTTTGAAGGTTTGTTTGAAAATGCTACATATTTAAACAAGCTAAGGCCTCCCCAAAAACATTGGTTTGCAGCATTTTACTGCATTTTGCTGCGTTAAGAGCATTTTTACAGCTAAAACACCTCTAAAAACCCACTAGTTCTGGGGGGTTTTTCCCACCCAAAAAATATCCCTGCCAAAACACTCTGATTAAAGCCTATGTGTGCATGGACACATAGGAGAACATGCTGGGGAGTTTACTGGCTGTAGAAAAAAATGCCAAAAGCCAAAAAACAGCAGCTGTAAAAACGTCCAGTGTGCATGAGGACTAAAGCTTTACAGGCTGTAGAAATACTAATTACTTACCATTACTAACTAGTTAAATCACTTCCAGTGGCTTACCACAGGGTCAGTTTTACAAACTAGCTCACCCTTGAAGAAATAGTGTTTATATACTTAAAGCGGTATTAAACCCAAAAGCAAACAAACATTATATTGCAGCTTAACAATTCTTAGATGTGATGGCTATTTTCTTCTTTTTTCATCTGGTGATTCAGCCAGTGAGTCTGCTGTTTTTGAAAGGAGTGTTACTGGACAGATTACCAGGTGTAAACAGAGGGAAAAAGCCAAAGAAAAGAAAACGGATGCAGCCACCACATCTAATGATTGGTAAGCAGCAGTACAATACACTTTTGGTTTTGGGTTTAATACTGCTTAAACTTTCCACTGAAATGCGTACTGAAAAGTCACCGATTTTTACACTCCCAGCCACTGTAAGTATAATACACTTCCCTGTCCCTCGCTGTAGTTTCTCCCGCTGGCTCAAATATCACTACAAAACTTTATAAATCAGTAGGAGGAACCACAGCAGCCAGTGGGGGAGCAAGTATTCAACTCGATTGACTGCTAAATATTTCAATCACCAAGGTAAATATAGTATTTCTTCTTTTGCAGGTGAACAACTTTGTAAACATGACCCTTTTGTTGTCAAGTTAAAAGTGGATGAAAACCTTATGAACCCTGCTAGCAGCTTGTTATAAGTGACAATCATCACTCCCATTAAGAGCAATTCAGCCATGCCCTATCTGAAGTCAAAGATTGCTTTAAAGACTTCAGCAAAGCTGCTTGAATCTGACCAAAAGCTTTGCAAACACTTTGTCAAACAGCTTGCTGGATCATTGCGCTTTTCAAAACATAGGTCTTGCAACTTTCCGATATTCAAAACAAGGGTGGCCCTTCAAGCACCACTCAGCTCAACAAGTCAAAAAATGAAGGAGCCGGTTAGAAAATTATCAGTGGAAGAATTGACTGCATCCTATCAGACAGTCCCTGTTCCGCTGATATTTTCCAGCCGGAGTGCAATGGTCAGCAGTGGGGATTCCTCAATCCAGAAAACTGAGCCATATATAGGCAGCTTTACTGTAATCTGTACAGGGGAAATGAAGCAAGGAAGTCAATAGTTTTCTTTAAAGGATAAGTTCACCTTTTGTAACATGTTACACCCATATTCAGGGTGTAACATGTAAACTGTTACAATTGTACCGGTCCCCACTCCCCCCGATGTGACAGCTAGTGCCCAGCCGCGTCACTTATTCACAATATTTTGTGACTAGGAAGTTTAAAAGTCCAGGCAGCCTGTGTGGCTGTGGACTTGCAGTTGTCAATGAAGTACCGTGGGGCTGTGGTAATTCATTGATTCTTCCTGTCTATGTAAAAGTGTTTGCTTTTACTACGAGCAGGCAGACTACAATGACAGTGTGCAGAAGACCTGCATGGCACCAGCAATCTACTGATCACTGGTGCAATGCTTTCCAGGCCACTTAGAAAAAAGAAAAAAAAAAAAAAAAAAAAAAAAAGTAAAATGCACAATTTTCTTACCTGCAAAAAAAAAAAAAAAGTGCATTTATTATTTTTTGCTAAAAGTTAAACTTCTCCTTTAAACAAACATTTCAGCTGTTTTTGTTCAAAATGTTCATGAATCAACCCCCATTTGTTCAAAATGTTCATGAATCAACCCCCATATGTGTTTAAGGCTCCATTTACACTAGGGAGTTTCAAATCATGGGCAGAATCGCAGCAATTTTGCCCGCAATTTGAAAACGCACTGTGACTATGTGAAAATGCACACGATTATGGCCCGGTTTTTCGTGTGACACACGTACCACAACTGTGCAAACAATTGAGGGATGCGCGAAGCCCAAAAAAAGGTTCCAGGACCGCTTTTCTGGTCAGTATTTTGTGCCAGTATGCGCAAATGTGCACAAATACGCTCATATAGTCATACATAATGGATTTTGCCTAGGAATGTATTGTATGTGCAAGCGCAAATACGTGCAATACAAATGCCTGAAAATACATCCAGAAATGCTGATGCCTAATAGTTAGTACAGTTAGCCTAAAGGCTGCAATTTGCAGGCACAATGGAACAATAACCAGAGCAATGGAAATTACTAGTGTAAATAATTGTAGTGGTGGCCTACAAAGGGTGAGCTCTGGTAAGTTTAAAACTCTTGTATTTTCTAAAGTTGACTTCTGAAGGATACTGAAGTAATGTGTAAGAGAAACAAAGCAATTGAGGTTGGCCACCACTACAGACCTCCTGAAAACACTAGTTGTCTTGCTGCTTCTGAAGTCAGTATTTTTAGAGTCTCTGACTTTAAGAGTTACTAAACCCACAACAGTAAAATCAGACTGTATATGCACTAAGTATGCTTGTTATACTCACTGTGGAACATAAGGGGTTAATCTACTGCATTGTGTAAAAAGGATGTTTGATCCTGTCTTCTCTGATCCTCCCCTTCCACATTCCATCTCCTGATAGAACACAGCCTTGGGGACACTCTGCTCATGTTCAGTTTGGCGTGTACTGCTAGAGAGTTTTTTTCCTTTGCTTGGAAGGGTGCATGTGATCAGCACAGGGCCAATCGGCACTGTCCAGAGGGTCAGTGGTTATGCATTTTCATAGGGCAGACAGAGGAGAATGAAAACTCTTCCTACAAGCTTTAACCGGTGCTCGGCTGGACACTGATAGAAGTCACAAGACTGCTCTAACTGCTGATGAGAAAGGATATTTAGCAGTTTATATTTACTAAAATAATTGCATTTCCATGTTCTGTGTACTGTGGGAAACGACCAGATATAGTGAATGCAGGCTCCTGAGTTTAGTAACACTTTAAACATGCTTGCAGCTGATTAAAATCACAACTTCTCACTTGAAGGCATACATGTTTTGGATCAACAGCTAACATACTGAACACGAGGGGTCAGCATAGCAGCCAGGGAACTAGCATTATCATGAGATCAGCAATGAAAGCTTACAGCTGTTCTTAAAATTTGAAATGTAATACTGAACCAGGCTGGCCATGCATGAGCAACTCTATCTTCATATAAAATAAAAAACACAGCTGGGGGTGACGGGTTCAAACCCCAGTAAATCAGACCAATTAGGAGTACTTGTGTCACAATTTTGTCATGGATGGCCAACCATATGAGACTGGGGTCATTTTAGTTTACTGGAACCACTGAGTTCACTAATCTGTCTCAATAGGAGGCATGTACCATTAAAGCCTTTACATTACCATACACTAGACTCAACAAGTAAGCACTTTAACTACACAAGAAGGTTTCAGCAAACAATTGTCAGAAAGAAAAGCCCGGACTTCTGCCTGCCCATTGGAGGTCATAAGTTGTTCTACCACATTCTTCTATGTAAAGCCCCTTCCATCAGCACTGGCAGTACAAGCAGGATCTAACATGTACCAGGATATCAATATACACACAGAGGACAGCCCAAGATACAGTGGTGAGGAGCAGAAATACATCATATTTCTACCCAACAGCTCAGTACCAGACACTGCACACGAGTGTTTATGTCCAGCACAGGCCCTTGCAAACAGAAATAGCCACTTTCTTTCTTTCTTTACTAAATAAAAGAATACTAAGAAACTATGCTCTACTGAAAGATCTGCATAGATCATAAACTGTCAAACTATGCTAGAAGCCATAAAGCACGGATTTGACGTCTGGCAACATGAATAGTAAACCATTACAAGCCCCACTGAAGATGCAGGCTCTAAAGTAACACTAAGGACACACTACAGCATAGGTGTAACCCACATGATCCCCCCAGTGAGAGGAATGCTTCTGCAGCACACTCTTGGATGATACAATTGAACACACTCACCTCAGTTTATCTGTATGGATTCCATTTAATCCTAAACTGTCTGGACGCTCCTTTCTCCTCCTGTACAAGTCTGACTGGGACAGCTCCTTTAGCTGCAAAGCATTCATCTTTAAATCCCAAAATGTAATTTATCCAGAGAAGCCCCCAAACAATAAAGTTCAAATAGCCTCCAGAGACAGGAGCGTTGTGTGTATGCACACCTGCAGTGTTCCAGGCACAGAATGCCTTGCCAGAAGCAATCGCAGCCTTCTTCCTGTTTCTCACTCGCACACACCCATCTACAGGGCCACTCCGGTATGCTCTCCTTATCACAGACCTACACACCTATGGGATGGTCTAGGAAAGCAATCTGAAAAGCTGGCTGGAGGCGGGCTTGCTTGGGTCATCTTTTGTCCTTTGAAACTGCACACACAACCTCATTGTTGTGCCAAGTGGACAGGCACCCACACAAAATAATGCTAAATCTATGCATCAGAGAATACAGTACACAAAGCCATCAGGACTACAAACTGAATGCCTGCTTCCACTTGCGTGTTATTTTGCTGGGCAAACTACAATTGCACTCAGCACAGAATTAATATAGTTGACATATTACATTACCAGCTTCATATCAATAACCAATCTAGGACAAAAGAACCAGTAGTGCCCTTCCTAAATTAATTACCAACTACACACAGAACAGTTCCTGCCTCAAGTTATGGTTTTGCTTTCCTCCAAGTTATTTTTCCAAACATTTTAAAGCTCCAATTTTCTAGCATGCCAACTTATTTTCTTGAATCACTTTGCTAAGCTCATCCATGGTCCCATTGTGCACTCTGTTATTGCACAGGTCAATATACATCCCTCACAAAAACTGCATAGAGTATGTATACATGGAATGTAATAAATGACACTACCTCTATGCATATAGCATAACTGAAGTGCTGTATACAAAAAGGAATCTCGTACATCAATAATACTTTAGGATTGAACTGCTAAATGCCTGGAATTATGACAAAGAACTAAAGCACTGGTGTAAATGTATGCTATAGCAAATATACATTGTCAAAAACAATTCAGAATCCAGATTTCATAAAGCAAGCAGATTTCAATTGAAATCATATTAAAGTGGTTGGAAAGGGTCAAGGTTTTTTACCTTCAAGCATTTTTTTGCATGACAGTAAAAAAACTTCAGTGTGCAGCATCCCCTCCTAATACTTACCTGATCCCTGTCGCAATCCAGCGATGTGCATGAGAGCCTCAGCTTTCCAGGTACTCTCTCTCATCATTGGCTGAGACAGCAGTGGAAGCCAATGGCTCCCACTGCAGTCAATCACAGCCAGTGAGCCATTAAGAAGAGAAAGGAAGGTCCCTGGCTGGATATAGCTTAACCCTCGAGATTCGACCAGTCCCTTCTGTCGATATGAGGATGGATTTTGCTGTGATCCCCTTGGAGCCCCTCCCTCCCCTTTTTTGTGTGTGTGTGTTGTCCGTGTCTCTCTACTATTTGTCTTTTTCTACTTTCCTGTTTAATCTGTCCTTAAACATATTTTACGGATTGTGCCTGCTGTTTTATGCGCTACATTTGCAATACTATTTATGCAATCTAGATTTCTTTATAAAACTTTAGGTCATGAACATGTACTATTTTTTTGGTGAGGCCTCTTCTCATGCTCTCCCACTTTCTATAATGTTGATGTAGAAAAACTTCCCTTTAGAGTTTACATTATCATTGACCCACTAAGGTTTGTTGTTCCCTTCCAACCCCTTCCCCCGTCCTCTCCCTCAGGGCACCTATGTAAACTTTTCAGCTTTTGCCTTTATCGCTGCATGCCTTGAACCAGCTTCCCTTCATTTAATCAATTTATAAATGTTGGTCATTGAATTTTTGCTCCGAATGTCTGTTTATCTTTGCTTACTACTCAATAAAGCTCTTTGTAAAAGAAGAGAAAGGAAGAAGGGCCAATCCGCGGCTCTGTGTGTGAATGGACATGAAGAGCAGCAGCTTGGAAGCAAGCTGCTTGCTCTGGGAGCACTCGGCAGGCAGGAGGGAGCACCGGTGGGGCACCTGAGAAGAGGAGGACCAGGGCTGCTCTGGGCAAAACCAATGCACAGAGCAGGAAAGTAGGACATGTATATTTTTTAAAAACTTGCCTTTAATATCACCTTTAAAGATTATAAAAGATTTTAGTAATTGGGTTTACATATACTTTGCTGCAAGTAGAACTAGAAAAGATAAACTTTTTTAAACTTTTTTTTTCCCCTTCTCATTTTCAATAGAGTAAGGGAGGGTTTTAACCCACAAGTTTTTTTTACTATCCGCATCCCATTGGGGACATTTCCCTTCACTTCCTGTTCCTTTATAAATACCAATAATAATTATTATTATTAAAGTACCATCGATTTTATGCAGCACTTTTACATATATTAGACATTCACATCAGTCCCTAACCCTCAAGGAGTGTACAATCTAAGACCCATAGTCAAAATGGGAAGTGAGAGCAAATCTTTGTAAATTAACTTCTTACCTACAGCGCTATAGCTGAAAGGATGGCTACAGCACAGTTGTCTAGTTCCTTGGACGACATCCATGGACGCCATTCCAGAACATGCCCTCTGTGCACCCCCAGCGGAGCGCACCCGGCCCCGCCAGTGACTGCTGTGTCCTATGGACACAGCTGATCACATGATACGTTAAAACGGCTAATCACAGTGGCCTTTTACCATGTGATCAGCTGTGTCCAAAGACAGCAGATCACCAAGTAAATACAGTTGCCGGTTATCAGCTGCACTTTCCTCACGCTATCACAGCATGAGGAAAGTACTGCCGATAACCAACACTTGTCAGAACTGATCTGCACTGATCATCAGGGCACTGATGCTCAGTGCTGCCCACCTGTGCCACCCACCTGTACGCATCATCAGTGCCGCCTATCATTGCTTATCAGCGCCGCTTATCCGAGCCCATCAGCGCCGCTTATCCGAGCCCATCAGCGCCGCTTATCCGAGCCCATCAGCGCCGCTTATCCGAGCCCATCAGCGCCGCTTATCCGAGCCCATCAGCGCCGCCTCATCAACACATATCAGTGAAAGAGAAAAATTACCTGTTTGCAAAATTTTATAATAGAAACAAAGAAAAAACTTTTTTTTTAAACATTTTTTTCGTTTATAGCGCAAAAAATAAAATCACCCAGTGGCGATTAAATACCACCAAAAGAAAGCTCTATTTTTGTTAAATTATTAAAATGTCATATGGGTACAGTGTTGAATGACCACGCAATTGTCATTCAAAGTGCAACAGTGCTGAAAGCTGAAAATTGGCCTGGGCAGGTAAGGGGTATGAGTGCCCGGTAGGCAAGTGGTTAAGGGGATCCCTTGGGGTACCCCCAGGTCACCAGAACTAGCATCCCTCCTATTACTGTTCTGGGAACAACCCAAAATGTGGGATTCTTTAAACTTTTTTTAAAAACTTTGTTCATAATCGGCTTTATTCTGTCAACTCATCTAGTTAATCTAGAACCTTTGTTAGTAGTACCTGTGAACATACAATGTTATAGACACTTTCTATTCCAGGTGGAAACTTTGCAAGCACCATAACTGCTTTCGCTTTGTTTCAGAAATTAATCTTTCTTGCCTTTTTTACAAGTTTAAAAGTTCTGTAGTATGACCATACATCTCTTCTTCCCAATAGTGGGGGGAGGAGTTACAGGACACTGTGCAGACACAGTATGCCTGTATTCCATAGCCTGTTCAGCCTGAGGCAGGATGCTAGCTGTGTTTGAGGAGGGAACATGTTCAAGAGGCAAACTGTGATTAGGAGGGGTGTGTTCCAGAAGTAGGCTGAGAATGCTTGGGGGAAGGGGGGGGGGGGGGGTTATGATTGCACAAACTACCCAATACAGGCATGCAGTGTCTGCACAGTGTCCTGTACCTGTATATATGTGTGGATTCACATATGTGCAGTGCGAATTGAAGCACTGTTTTCACAGCTAATTGAGAAAATAGTAGTTCAGAGATTCACATCATGTTTATAACAGGATCAAGTCAGGATTTCATCCTGTTCACAAGTGAATGAAGTGCAAAACAGAAGCATTCCCATAGAAGTCAATGAGTCTGAATTTGCACCCGAGCTGGACCACACTGCTCAGAAAAAACTGACAGCACTCTCAATTCACA